CACTGTGGCCCTCAGCTCTGAGCCCACTGGTTCCTATGAACTATGTTAGTCTTTAAAATCACATCAAGAATTCAAACTATTATTGGGAAAAAATAACAAAGGCTAAATGATTATCTAAAACAGTGTTAGCAAATGTTAGTCAAAGAGGAGTAAATCATTATTTATTCCAGCTGTGCATTAATACACAGCCGGTGTTGTGGTGAACAGGCCGCACTGTGTTGCTGCAGGATAATATATGTGGGACTGAGTCAGAATAAACTACAGTGTCTTTGTTGTTGTAATGAAGGAAAATGTCAACCAGTGCAACAACACAAATATGTTTTGAATGATTCTTAGAACAAACTGAGCTCTGGGGCACAGAGACGTCAAGACAATGCTTGTTATGGGATCAATTCATTGTTTACATTGTTTACAATTAGCAATGTTGCTCATCCCTGAACAGTCCAGCACGCCTTTAGTGATCTTATTTCTCACAGATCCAGATCTGCTCAGCAAAGCAGCCATCATCGTTCCATTGTCCCACGTTTGCAGTTGATTCCTGCACAACTTCTCCACAGTCCTGGTTCCCATTGTAGCTGTTGGGCTGCCCAGGCTGCCAGTACCTAATGTGCCACAAAGCAGAGAAACAGTTTTCTTTTTTAGCAGCACTCAGTTTGGTTTTCCAACAACTCTGACCTGTTGTTTCGGAGCTAAACTGTGACTGAAGGGATTGTAACTTGGTTTTTCTTTTGATTTAACTCTCATTTACATAGAAATAGTACTATGCAGAGTCCTTGTGCAGTAATGGAATTTTAAAACCGCCCCCATCACCACCTCTGCATGTTTTCAAATGCAGCCTAACAAGACTGTGAATTTTGATGCAATGATGTCTCTGTGGATGCAGTTGTGTAAGGTCTCAGTTTGACAGCGCAGTACATCACATCCTGATATAGCAAACCACGTCTTTGAGTTGCAAAAACACAGTCAGAAACCTTTCAGCCTCATCAACAACTCTGCTCTGTTTCATG